TGAGTTTTGAATGTGTTAAATGGAAAAAACCCCTAAAAATGGGCCAAAAATGGCAACAATGGGCCATAAGGCCCCTTAAAATTTATCGGAGGCCTTTAAAAAGGCCAGAAACGAAAAGTAAGCAAAAAAATACATAAGAATCATGTGCTGGAAGAGTGATAACAGTCGAAAAAGTCGACGAAAATAATTGTTTTTCGATTCCAGGATTTTGGGTTTGAGGCGCTGCTGCGCCCTTGCATGGGCTCCGTTCGATCTAATATTTGGCACAGAGTCTACCTAAAACTAGTACTTTGAAAATATGAAACATTTAGCAAAATCCAGGTGGGGCCGGAAAAGGCCCAAAACGCAACTCCTCCTTTAAGATGATATGATATCTCCCATTGAGGTATATTTTTGGGGTTCTGAAAATTGGCCCCAAGTCATATCATAATTATCTACTGCAACTGCTGCTCAAAACTAGAGAAATTACCGTTAAAGCTTGTTGCATTGCGTAAATGCCAATGTGAGAATGCCTCTTGACCAACTTCAGCTGGCACTCCACCAAGGAAGAGTGGCGTAGTCAGGCGCAGGTAGTCCCGAGAGCCTTCATTGATGATAGAGCGAGCAATTCCATGATCAACTCGCAAGGTAAAGTTCTTTTTGATGGCAATTAATTCGACAACATGATATTTTCCGTCAGTCAGAGTTTCAAAACTGAAAAAGACATAAATTCTATTAATTAAAGATCTAACAAACCAAATAAAAATTAAAAAACAAAAAAAAACAACAACAATAACTCTGAGGCGTATCTTACTGAAACTTGATATGCACAGTTCAGAAGCTTTAAAAATGTTAATTTACTTTGCTTTCCACTCTGCATTGAAAAACTAATAATTTTCCAACTTTATTGAACAATTTTTTGCTGGATAAAATTCGAAGTGGCATTTGCAGAGGATGGCTGATATCAGGTTGCCGAAGAAGGTGTTGGAGTGGGTCCCCCCAGGTAGGCGACGGAGAGGGCGTCCAGCCAAGCGGTGGGTAGAGGGCATCCGTGAAGAGATGGAGAGATGCCAGCTTCCAGAGGATCTCTACCATGACAGATCCTGTGGAGAGTAGGTGTCGCAGAGCGCCCTAGCGCGCCGTAAAAGCGGCTCATACATACATATATAAAATCAGAAGTAACTACTGAAGTTGGAACTAAGACGCCAAACTTAGACGCAAATTAAAAAATTTTGCCTGATTATTATTTATATTTTATACTTTATTTTTCGTTTTTTATTTCTTTGACTAGGTAAATCCTTATACTCATCATACACTCAGTAAATATGCGGCAAGATAAATTTACAATATTTTCTTTGTTCATATTTTAGATACATTTGTACAGAAAATTGATAGCTCTAGGATGAGAGAAAGCACAAGGGGTTACCTGTACATGGTTGAAACCGGATAATTTCCAACATCATAGCTCACTCGAATCCTGCCATTGAATAATTCAACAGCCAAATGTTCTGATTGACCATCATACAGCAAGACACCGTTTTCTTGTGTTGTGGAGAAGACGACAGTAACATTGGCTTCTGGTTTTGTTCTTAACGGTTCCATTTCAACGAAAGATGAACTATGGATGAAGCTCAGACTAGTCAGATATTCGCATCGTTTTCCTGTTGAGAAGGAAATCACGTGTGACGTAAAACAATGTTAAAACTGTTTATAAATTCTTATTCTAATTATACGATAAGCCAATTCTATAGATTGCAACTTTTAAACCTTGTTTCTTTTGTGTTGCTTGTATTGCTGTGAGGAATATTTTTGCTGGCACTTATTTTTGGCAAAAAAGTTGGTAAAATGCAACACAGGAAATTATTAATTTTTCTTCTGTTGAGAGAGATAAAAAAATACCTGTTCATTTTTTAGAGGTAGAGGGCAAGAAATAAAAGACGTACCTGAGTAACCAGGAGCACATTTACAAGAGTAGTCCGATGATCCCTGCGGCTGGAAGCAGATACCATTCTTGCACTCGTGGTGCTGACAGGGCGATGTTTGTGGATAGAGCATGGCAACCATAGGTGATATCTCGCAAAATTTTCCGGCATAGTCCCCGGGACAGGTACAAGTGTAATCGTTCACTCCATCAACACAAGTGCCACCATTCTGGCACATGTGGTTTTGACAATCATCGTTATTGATGGTGCAGTTCTCGCCTGAGAATCCTGGAGCACATTCGCAGGAGTAGTGCGTGAAGTGATTGATGCATTTGGCTCCATTGTGGCAGGGATTGTACTCTTTCGTGCAGAATGGGATCTTTGTTTCACAGTACGTTCCCATGTACCCTGGAGAGCAGCGGCATTCGTACGCTTGGATCAAATCGATGCAGGTTGCGTTGTTTTTGCATTGGTGTTTCAAACAGTCGTCGATGTTGCTTTCGCAACGAGCGCCAGTGAAGCCAGGTGCACACTCACAACTATAATGACAAAATAATCAGAAATAAATAAGTACGGAATTAATTTGAGAATAAAAGAGACAAATTGTCGTTTTTCAGACAGGAGAACGTAAGTGACTACATTTCAGATTTGCAAAATTTCCTTTCACAAACTGTTGTTTGGCATTTATGAGAGAAAACTTCAACAATTTTTTTCCTAATTTGACGCAAAAAAAAAAAAAAACAGCAAAATTTGGACAGAAATTGCTTGATTATGCTTTTGTAAAAAATTAAATTATTTAGGTTGAATTTTCAGCCTTGAAATGAAATTTTGTTCCTTTCTTTAGAGAATGAGAAACGTACCTTAGGTTATTAATAATTCAAAGTTTTCTGCACAGAAAATGCTTAAATTATTGAAATAGCGGTTAAGAATAAGGAAATTACCTAAATCTCCCTTCTTCCAAAAGTTTGCAAGTTCCAGAGTTCCGACAAGGGTTGCCATAGCATGCATCAATTGTATGTTCACACAGCTTTCCGTGGAAACCAGGAGCGCACCGACAGTTGAACTGTCTCTCCGGTAGGGCTTCGCACACACCATTGTTGCTGCAAGGTTTTGTGTAGCATGCATCACATTTTGATAGGATCTCATCGCTGACTGGACCTAGAAAAAATGAAAAATAAAAGTTGATGTTACCTAGAGAGTGGATAGAAAGAATTATCGACAGTTTTCATTTAAAATTTACTTTAGTGCTTTACTTGTAGACTCGAGAAAAATTTCCTGTAAAAAGTAAGTTGAGTAAGTTGAGGTAAGATACAGTAGCTTCTTTAATTTTCAGATTAACAGACTAAATAACTTGTCATTAATTTTCATTGGAAATGCTTTTTTCTTTAACTAAAAATTAAACTAAAACCATGACGATTGAATAAGAGCTTTCCTCTGAATTAGTTAGCTCTCTGTATAAATGTCATTGGTGTGAAAGAAATAATAATGCCTGGAAAAAATAATCATACCATCACAAGTGAAAAGATGTGTTGGAGTGGATAAGAGCAACTTGTCACGCATGTTGATTGGACCCGTGCATCTTGCAATCCCAGGTTCTACAAAATCTCGTTTCACCCATTCTGCCAGCCACCCTAAGTTGCAATCACAGTATAATGGATTGGCTCCCAACGCTAAATGAGTGACACTCATCAAATCGGCAAAAGCGCCATCAGGAATCATGGATAAATTATTCTCATGCAGAGAAATGATTCTCAAAGATTTCAGTCCAGCAAGAGCATTCTTTTCAATGCATTGAAGCTTGTTGTAGCTGACAATCAGGGTCGACAGCTTTGACAAGTGTTGGAAAGTATTGTTCGCCAGAACTGTGATTTTGTTGTAGCTCAAGTCCAATCGTGTTAAGGATTTCAGGTGCCTCAGACGGTCAGCTTGAATTGATGTGATTTCATTCACGTCTAGGTATAGTTCTGAAGTTTCGGCAGGTATTCCACGAGGGATTTCGGTAAGTTTCGATTGGCTGCATCGGACGACAGTTCCTGTGCATTTGCATTTCGATGGGCAGTAATTTTCCCCCAAACAACCTTGATCTTGATCGCCTGAAAGATTAAAAGAGAATTTGAGTGATGAGAAACAGACAGAAAACAAAAAATATTAAAATAAAAGAGGACTAAAATTTCCTAGAGACACTTTACACTTATATGCATAGAAAACTATGGTCTCTATAATTCAGTTGTTTGAAGATGAAGGATGAAAAATTGTTTATTCGGCAACTGAAAGTTTCATGTAAACTAAAATAAATATTATAATTATTTATTTTTACCTATATTGGTAACTTATAATTTAAGGCATGGAAAGATGCGTTAAGGGTGCTTGATTAGATTTCCTTTCACAATATCAATGTCTTGTGAGAATAACAATTCTTTGTTAAACAATAAAACGCCGAATTCATTGCCGTTCAACAAATAAAACTGGTTACTCACTTGTGCATTTGAATTCATGTGGTGGAATTTCATGAATTGGGGTGTCTTTCAATCTGGCTGGTCCACCGCAGTTTGGACTACCAGCAGTCAACTTCCTTCGTTTCAGCCATTCAGGGAACCATCCAAGGTGACAGTTACATTGGAATGGATTGGATTTCAAGTTTCTGAAAAGAAATAAAAATAATGTGAGACCTCATTCTGCAGCATTTGACTATCCATACACATTCCTACAAATGAAGTACATTCTTTAAATTTTTGCTTGCATTTCATTTGTCTAGCCAAAATCATTCCTGAAATTAAAGGCCATGCACCTTATTAGCTCTCTGATGAAAGAAAATACCAATAATTTTACAATTTGGGAAAGTAGATGATAAAACCCCAATATGAGACACAGGCAGGATTACGATTTTGAAGAATAGGAAACTTACAATGTATGAAGTTCGTTCAAGATATCAAAGGAACCAGGCATGACGCATGTTATCAAATTGTCATTCAGGGATCTGAAAATACACGCAGGACAAATTAAGTTTAGCAAGGTTCGGCTAGATGAAATGAGGAATAGACCACTAGACAAGATATAATTCAAAGCACAATGTAACATATATTCTCTTCAGAATTTCGCAAGGTAAACCAATCACATGACAGAGAGTCTGGAAGTCAATTCCTGAACAAGATACAAGTGTTTACTGACATCATTGGATAAATGGAAAACATACAAATGATATCATTTGTATAATCTAAACCTAATTGAATCTCAGTAAAAAATACTTGTTGATATTTCGTTCAGGAGTTGCTTTCTGAACTTCGAATTGTGTAAATTTTTTTCTACATAAAATTTTAAGGAGAAAACATGGAAAATTTTTTTCTAAATCAGACTTTGTCTAGTTGCTCAGAGTCAATGATAAGAGGATGTTCATAGACTCCAAATCACAAGATACCATTTTTTGAGGCCAAAAAAACATTGAAAGGGTTTAGAATATTCTCATACTGAAAAAAAGAACAGAACCACACATATTTGGGTAAAGTTGAAACAAAAAGAAAATGAAAATGCAAAATTGAAGAATATAATTTTGGTCCCATATTTTACTTGCATTAGTGATATTCCGAGGGAGAAAACCAATTTTAATTTGGGGTGACAAGAGACACCTATCAATACAAGACTAGATTGCTAAAATAATATTTTGAAAGTAAATAGTTCTGTGGTGATTGGGGTCCAAACCTACTACTCTATAAAATTCTTTTCAGATACCTACAACTTCAAAAAACCTCCGTACCTAAAAAATTGATTCTCAAAAAAATGAGTTGAGCCAGACTGCACTAAGTTGCGTCAAATTCGAACCAAGAAAAATAGGTTTGAAGTTTTATTCCTCCATACGACTCAATGTTAATAAAACAATTTACCGATTGCTGTTCTGTTCATAATATTGTTTTTCAACATTAAATTTTTGACAGGAAAAAATTTACAACTAATTGACTTCAAAACTCCATCCAAATTAAATCCTTCTTTCACTAATTTTTTATTGCTAGTGAAGCATTTGGTTCAGATTTCAATGAAATTAAGAGCAATACTTACAAAATTTTTAATGTATGAAGACCTTGGAACATTTTGTTTGTGATTTTGGTCAGCTTGTTCTCAGCGAGATTTCTGAAAGAAAAAGTAAAATACAATTTACAATAAACATCAAACTTAACCAATACCTTACTGCTGTTATATAGTAAAATGTAAGAGATATCTTTTTTCACTACATAGGCTGATTTTGTTACCAAATTTTCTACCTGTCAATTTTTTTTCGGCAATTATGCTGCTAACATTGGGTTTTTTGTATTTGCTTATTTGAAAAAGATTTGCAAAGTTCTGCAGTTGACTCTAGAGATATTCTATTTTTCTTTGATCCAATATTTCCAGGAAAAAGGTAAGAAAAAATATGGGTAAGTAAACAACTGGTGACTACTAACAATTCCGATAAAAGAGTAGTTCCTTCAAAGGTATTTTCTTCCAGTAATTTGATTTCATTTTTCCTTAGGTCCAGACGATGGAGTTGGGGTAGCCGCCCAAAGAGCCCATCTGCTTTGATCACCTCAATGTTGTTATCATTCAAAAGCCTGGTGAAAATAAATCAGGAGATTAAATTAATTAAAGAAAAAAATTAGACACTTAATACCTACCCTTTTTAAAACTGTGTCCTGCACTAGCTTTTTTTAAGGATACATTTTCAGAATTGACAAGAGTAATTTAATTCAAAATTTCATCTACCTACACCTTCATCATAGGAAAAGATAAAGCGAGCCTTAAAGTAGATCGTCTTAGAGATCATTGCGTGTTGGAGCATGCTTAAAAATCACAATTCTTAAATAAATTACTCTGTGAGGGTTTAGAGCAGAAAATATTTTTCCACTGTTCTTCAAATTCTGGAGACATTTTGTGATTGCAAACTCAAAGGATTAAATGCCGTGATTACTACTACTCAAATGGAATTTTTTTGTCAATTCAGTTTCAAAACAACAGAGAAAATCATTGTTGGCATGATTTTGTAAAAAAACTTGGTGATCATTTCCAAATTTAATTAATGAATTAGTTGCCCCACTTAACGTTGCAATTTTTAACTCCTCTTTGAGGAATTTCCTCCTTTGTTTCTTCTTTCTCCTATTTTAAAGAAAGATCACAGAGCTCCATTCAAAGGCTTGAGTAATAAAATATGTTACTTACAGTTCGGTAGTGTAGGCAGGGATGTCTTTCGGTACTTCCTTCAACCCTCTCGCAGAGCAATCAACGATTGTTCCATCGCAAGAGCAGTTTGTCGGGCATGCTCTCTCGATCATGCAGTCCCCATGGAAGGTTCGTTCTTCCGTGCCTGATAAGATAAAATCTTTGATTAGAATGCAAGCTAATATAAAATGTGCAATTTCAAAGTTACTTTTGAAATACGTGACCTGCAAGGGCATAACACAATACGTAAGTCATACACAATGCATTCTACTGTTTCTTGATTGGGTACTGCGGATTGTCTACAAAACAGTTTATTAGTGAGGATGGATTCAAAGCTGACTTACAGCTTGCACATCTACCAGGTATGTTACCTGGCACTGTGGCTAGAATTTATCATAGAATTTTCTGCAGAATTTTTGAGCCAATATAAGATACGAGAGCTTTAACAAGTGATAATCTGCTTGCTATGTACCTCTGTCTCATAGGCTAGTTTAATTAGAAAATAAGATAAATGAAAATGTGCAAAGAAAAAGCATGAGAGAGACAAACCTTGTGTATGAGATCGAATTAGTATATAAAGATTGAGTGAGAGAATTTCTTGAGAAGTCACAAGTTTTGTACATCATGATGAATAATATTTCAGGATATGAATTTGAAGAATAAGAAATGACTTAAACGCAATTTAACTATGAAATATGCGATGAAGAAAGAAGAGTTTTGAGGAGACAGTAGTTCAAGCATAGAATAAAGTTTCAATCAAGTTACTTCCGAATCGCAAACTTATGTTGTGTGATACTGGTTACTGATGATAACAGGCCGAGTGAATGAAACACTGATAAGATCGTTTGTTGACGACTGAGGTTCACTGATATTGTTGAAGAGAGCAGCACTAGCAGCACGAGCAAAATTCGAATTTTTGGCGGCAAAAATTTGATGCGCCAACTACCCCTCCTACCCTACCCCTCATAGTAGGGTAAAGAGTTGATAAAGTTCTCTTGGCACTTACAAGTTACCTCGGTTCAGTACCTGCTTCATTGAGTTCAATATGACATAATATAATTTGTAGGCATGTACATGTACAAGAATGATACCTACCGAGTACCGATGGCTGAAATCAAAAATTGCCCTACTTCAAATGTATTGTTGGAAAATCGTCTAATATTTTATTTTCCGTATTTAACGAAAACTCATCGAGAGATTGGCTTAAAAGTTGCTGTGAATATTTTCTTTTAATAAAAAATATTCACGTTAAGCACAATAAAGATTTCTATTTTGGTTAGTTTTCGTTTTAAAAAATACAGCATAATCAGAGGTTTTGAAAATGTTGCAATGGAGATACCAGGGCCGGATTAAGGGGGTGGCCACTGGCCACATGGGCCGTGGCCCACGGCGGCAAATTTAGGGGGCGGCAAATTTTGCAATTTTTTTTAAATGTAGGTATAAAAGAAATCGGATTCAGAAAAAAAAAAAAATTATCAATGAGAAAAGGGGACAAAAGCTCTCTTTCCTGAAAGTATAGTAGTTTCTACTTTTGTCGTTTTTCGGTGATACAAGAGACAGTATCTTTAATTAGTCGAGTTAAGAGAGGAACTAACACACATTAGCGCCTACAAGACATTGCTTGAATACTTCACGCTTTACGGCAAACACAGTGCGACCGGCGCGGCGCAGCGGCGGAAGTTAAAATTATTATACCACGTTTATGTTTGTTCTTTCATAATTTTTTGGTTCATTTCTTATAGATGGCGGAGCAAATTTCCGTGCAATTTTGCTAATAGTGTTGACAGGGCTTTCGCAAGAAATGTATCCAACACGAGTGAGTAAACGCGTCTTATGCACCTCTCCGCCTCTCCCTCCGGCACGTTCACTCGATGGTTTTTATTGATGTTTCAAAACGAATGAGAGGGGGGCGGCAAAATACAGACGGCCCATGAACGGCAAGTAGGTAAATCCGGCCCTGGGAGATACTGATTTTCCGACTTCAGCCATCGATGCGCAGGTGCACAAATTAATTCATCACTTGCCGAATAAGTTTACACTCTTGTGGAATGCAACAGAAGATCTGCCATTTCGATTCTTACATTTAATTTCAATGCTAAACCGAAAACGGATGATCTTCGTATCCTTCTCATCCCGAAAGTGCGTGGGTGGGTAAACTTACTTGGTGTGGACTCTAATAATAATGTCGATAATCTCAGCTGAGGGATTCATATTTTATACTTATTAAGATTTGATTTTTGGTGGAGGGCTTACCCTTACATTTGAATTTTTCGTCTCTGAGGGCTTCAATACGGCGTCGCATCATCTTCTTGGGCGATTCACAGCGAACGCCGGAGGTTTCGATTGGGTTTTGGTGGAGGTATTCGGCCAGCCATCGGAGGTTGCAGTCGCAGATGAACGGATTTCGCGCCAAATGACTGGGGGAAAAAATCAGAAAAAAAATTGCATTCGTTGCGCGTAGTTAACAATAAATAACACCCTACTTTAGTGGGGCCACTAAATCGCACTTATCAAAAGATCTCATAAACCTGTTATAAGTAGGTAATTGCCTTTGGATGTTTTTTAAAGTATAGAATTCGCGTATTATAAATATTTTTTTCAAGAGTGATGTCCCACCCCCCCCCCCCCTTCACAATTATTTTCAAGATTAAAAACCTTCAATAAAACTCTGAGAAGTTGTAAACACTATTTTACTTTTCGTAAATTGTATTTAAGTAGTACCCTGAGAAGAAACAGAAAAAAAACTTAAACATAACAGAAAACATAAATTTGAACAGTTTTCACAAGCTGCTTCTTCAAATTTGAAGAGTTTTATAAAAGTTTTTTTTTTTTTTCATCAGTTGTTGCCACAAAAGTAGGACCCAATAATTAAGAGAGGCTGAATTTTAGCAAAAAGTCGAAAGTAACTTACTTAATGAAACGCACCTTTCTAAAAATATTGAATTAATAAAAGATCAATTTTTAGAGAAAAGTCGATTAAATTTAAAATTTCATACTTGCAAAGTAAAATCACAAATATAGCAATTAATAATATTGCAATAACGTCTGGTTTTTAAGGCCTTAAATTCCACTGCAATTTTTAACAATTAGAAGAAAAGAAAACTCAGAAGAAAAAAATATAAAAATTAGAAACACACGGTAAAAGATAAGGATAATGAAAGCTACTTACAGTGTTTGGATGCTCTTCATGGCGTCAAAGGTCCCCTCTGCCATTGATTGGATGTTGTTGTCATAAAGGGATCTGAAAAGAGAGGAAAATATTGCCATTAAGAAGTAGGTAATATAAAACCAAATTACTGCACGATCAAAATCTGTGACTTTGTTCCTCATGTTAAACTCAAATGTATTAGCAGTCGGCCGAAATTAAAAAAACACATCACAGAACACAGGTACAATAATATGACTTATGAGCATGTTTACAAGCAAGCTTACGAACAAATGATTTGCAAGGCGTTAGTGAGATAACTATTCGAGCACCTGTGCCGGTCACATTGCCGATCGTCAAAATTGAAGGCGAAACGTATGTGCACAGTTATGAGAATTCTTGCCTGGCCTGTGAAAGGACAAACTCATGCTCCACAGCCACAGTGAGGAGGTTTTTGCAAGGCGCTGTAAGATAACTATTCGAACTGAGTTGATTACATTGCCGAAGACCAAAATTGAAGGCGCAACGTAGTCGGACGACTTCAACGTCTTCTCGTTCTATCTTAATATGAATTGATTTCATTCTCTTAAACTCTGTCCAACTGTTTCACTTCAAATGAGTCGCCCAAAATCCGCTGATTTTTTTTTAAATTAGACTTAAGGAGGGAATGACCTCGATTTTCATGAATCGATCGAAAAAAAATCCTATGAATCAATCGACAACAATTCGATTGACAAATTACTAAAAAACCGGTGTCGATTCGATGTCGATCGTAAAATAAAAACGTGAACTGATCGACGTGATTTGATCAACAAAGTTCGATCGATTCACTGGTTTGCCGATTGATTCACGAGGTTGTCCGTCGATTCGCGGATTTGTAGATCGATTCAGGGGTGTGTCAACCGATTCGTGGCTTTGTCGATCGATTCACGGTTGTTGATCGAATCACGTCGATCAGTTTACGCTTTTTTTTCGATCACTTCATGTCGATCGAATCGACACCGTTTTTTCAATAATCCGTCGATCGAATCGGTGTCAATCGATCCACGTCGATCGATCCAAATTTGTATTTTTCGATCGATTCACGTCGATCGAATCCATAACCTCCAGACTTAGCACTCGATCCTGACTCTCACTCCTTCATCCACCGCGGGAAACCTCCCTATCCCATTTTTCCCCGGCGTAGAACATCGCGAACCCGCGCGTCGAACTTTATTAACGAGTCAACTTCCCCGCATTGAAAAGGCTCGGAAACGAGGATCGAAGGACGGCCGGGAGAGGAAAACTTTCATGGGCGGTTTAAAAACAATAAAACATCGTCTGAGTGGGTTCACTTTTCATCCGTTCATTGCGCTCATTTTTCTCCGGTTCCTCGCCGAGGTTTTCCCAACTTTTTCCGGCTCTTTAACCGAATCAAAGGCGACTCGTGAATAACGACCACAGTTGCCAGACAGTGTTGAAAATCAGCTTTTTCTCCACTTAAACCCATGTAAACTAGAGAACCCTTATAGGGCGAGTATGGAAAACTCGATTTATGTAGCTCTTAGGGCCCAAAAGGGAAAAACGTGAAAAACGAAAATCACTAGAAAAGTGCCGCTGCCAACCTATGCATTTGGAAGATCACTCAATATGGCCGACAGCGCATTTTAAACAAGCGTCTTTAAGGATTAAAACTTTGAAACTGAGAAAATGTAAGCGTTATCAAAGTTTTATACGTGCTTTTATAATTTTTGATCGATGTAACGTGTTGAAATGTGAAAATTAGTACCACTGGATAGTTCGAGTTCATACGTTGGCTCTTCTTTCGGGCCCCAAGAGCTACATGATCTGATCAAACCTAACCTACAAATTTTCGAGTTGTCCATACTCTCAAACTATATACATTATATTGTACAACCTGGCAACCTTGATAACGACGGAGCGCCACGGTTTAATGGAGCTTCCCGACTCCGTGCCTCCATAACTGCCGTGATGAAGAAAAATACCCTGAGAACATCCACACGTTGCCAAATTTTCACCCCTAAAATCCAATTTTTTAAAATAATTTATGCACATTCTTAGTAGAACTTTTTTACAGAATTGTATTTACAATGTTATCTAAAATACTTGGTAATTCCGAGGAAGAATATTCATAACTTTTCTCCAAAATTAATAATTTACTGGGCGGAAATTTGGCAATGTTTGGTGGTTCATACGGTGTTGTTCCTTAGCAAGGCTGCGCATAATAAGGTTCGTTGATCACGCTAGAGTTCGCCTCTTCAAAAGTCCCTTGACTCGGGCTGGAGGGATAATCGCCCTGTTCGATCAACGTACTTCCTTCAAATTGATTTGTAGGGACAGATTTAGCTAATTTTGACATTGAAATTAAGGGTGCACAGATATTGAAGCGATGGATGCAGAAAGGGCATTTCTTGGTTGCAGTGCAGTGCCTCAGAATCTCCGCTGACGTTTCATCCATTATAATTAAAGCAAACTGCTGTGCTAAGGCAGAACGCTGTATGAGCCGTCGGGTGTTGCTAAATTTTCTCTGATAGAATACGAATTTTCAAGGAATCTGTTGGATATTTTTCTTCAAAATTTTCGGAGCATTTTTCGCACAATTTAATCTAAAGTACCTGATGATTTCAAGGAAAAATATTCATGAATGTCGTCAAAATACATGTTTAATCAAGGGAAATGGCAACTCTCGAACGTTCATGCGGCGTTTTTCCTTAGCACGACAGCAAATGTGTAATTTGTTGTAACTTCTACTGAATATTCTTCATGATTTTGTAGTACTAAAAGCGTAAAATTTCAGAAAATTCATCCAATAGTTTCGTCCCTGAAATAAAAATTAGCACTGGAGATTTTGAAACACCGCAACCAAGAAATGCCCTTCATGCACCCAACACCTTATTTGCTGCCCATTGAAACCCCATTTATCGCATAAGATGAAGAGAATACCGATGGAAGTAACAGAAGAGTAAGTAGGAGAATCTCCCAACCATGGGAGAGGGGGGGGGGACCCCCGTCATGACGGGGTAAATACTGGGTCTTGGAACTGAGCCTACTAATCCTGTCTTGTTACAACAACTACAAATTAAATTGCGGTGAAAAAATGGGAATCGGAGGGGGGAGGTTGTTCTGGTTCTGATCAAGTAATGTCGCTTGCCAGAAAGTATCGTTAGACGAAAACGATACTGCCAAAACGATATGAGGACAGTAACTGCATGATTTCCTTATCTAAAGTGTGATTTACATAAAGTTCTCAGACAGAGGATTCACGTAATTAACCACTTATTTGCACGCTGACATAATATGAGCGCACTGACAGTGTTGCGTGACGGCAAAGAATTGAACGAATAAGTTACACTGATGGAAAGTAAGGTTTGCTTCATCAAAATATTTCGATTATGAATTATTTGTGTAATGTCATTTTGAAAAAAAAGACGTTGGAATGTGGCCAATGGAGCCTTTCACGGGACCTTCTTTCTGCTTATTCCTGGTTTTTCTTGGGTCATTTTTGACACTGGTTCGATGAGTATTTCGTCACCTTCCGGCCAAAGTATCACAAGCGCCATGCGAGATTTAAAAATTTCCGCCGCCATTTTATTTTTTTACAGAGAAATTGTTGGTTACATTTGTTTGAAAATTTCACTGAATTTCGTCGGCAGTACAAAGAAAATTCAGTGAAATTTTCGGACAGCTTCGTTGAACAATTTTCCTGTAAAAAAATAAAATGACGGCGGACATTTTTAAACGTCGCATGGCGCTTGTGATACTTTAGCCGGAAGGTGACGATTTGAGCTTTTTTTTACAAGAACAATAAAATAAAGACAAGACAAAAAAAAAAAAAAAAAAAAAAAAAAAAAAAACACTCACACACAGTTAATAATTTTAAAATTTATAGATGTTTCATTTTTAGAAATAGAGAAAACGAGAATGGGGGGAACTAAGCCATCCCCAAGAAGGCACTTTATCCAGATTGCCGTGGACGAGGGGGGGAGGGGACCACCCTACACGGAGAAAAAAACTTCGTGCGTGGGACCCGAAGTTCAGGTCATATGGATCTCTGAAGTTTTCGGATTGAGCATCTGAACACTTTAGGTCTAGCTGCCGAAGTTCAGGTCTGACACCTGAAACTTCAGTTCTTACATCTGAAGTACTTCAGATGTGAGAACCGAAGTTTTTCGGATGTGAGAACCGAAGTCGTTCGGATGTGAAAACCGAAGTACTTCAGATGTAAGAACTGAAGTTTCAGATGTCAGACCTGAACTTCGGCAGCTAGACCTGAAGTGTTCAGATGCTCAATCCGAAAACTTCAGAGATCCATATGACCTAAACTTCGGGTCCCACGCACGAAGTTTTTTTCTCCGTGTACCAAGAAAGATCCGTAGGATTTCGCCAACTCCAATAAAAAGCGCGGAGAGTTGTATTGCTGCAAAGGGGAGTCTGGAGTCTATCTTGCGACATTTTTAGAAAATTGAGTCGTCCCCGGAACAATTATAAGCTGTCCTAATCGAAAAATTCATCGGATTACACGTTTAAAGATGAGAGATGTGACACGCAGTTACTTAACAAAATCCCTGACAATTCTAAGGAGTGGCCAAGTAGATTTCTGGGGAGGACAGGCCCCCCGGCACCCCTAGTTCCACCCATCAAAAGGAGAGAGGGTGCGAGGGGAGAGGGAGAGAGAGAGAGTACATTAAATTGTGAAGAAACACCCAGCAAAACTGCGCTAGGTACTCTACACTGCACTACCTGACGTTTGTCTGTTTTCTTTCTTAATTCTGCTTTCTTTTTTTCAACTCACGCCATCGAGATCTGAAACCGCATAATATGCGAGGTGATGTTACAAGGTGCAACAAAATATGATAGAGCACCACGCACGGGAGACATACCGTCGTGCTAAGGAAGAACGCCGTTTGAACATTCGAGAGTTGCCAAATTTCCCTTCATCAAACGTGTAATTTTGACGCAATTTAAGCATGATTTTCCTTGTAATTTTAAGATATTATAGATTAAATTGCGTAAAGAATTGTCTGACAATTTTGGAGGAGAAGATTTACAATTTCCCCAGTAAATTCGGCAATGTCTGAAGGCTCATGCGGCGTTCTTCCTTAGCACGGCAGCATAGCACGCAACTTTGAAATCGATGGCGTGGCAACGCTACAGATTGCAAGTCGCTTCAGTGATAATTCAAGCTCCACAACAGTCATCAATAGTGTCTATTCGGGGGACTGCGGTAACCGGTTTCCAGTTGTGACGTGCGTGCGTGTGCACTTTGCTATGCTTACGTCATGTAATTTGTGAGGTCTGTACACAGTGTTATTTATGAAAGAAATTACATTTTTAGATTAGTTTTTCTTATCGTCGCATTTAAGTGGGTTTTTTTTCGATCGTTATAGTTGCGACTTTGATAACTCACGGTACCTCGGTTTCTGAGTGCGTGCTTTTTTATCAACAAAGTACGCTAACCTCTATCGGCTTCCCGAGACCTTCATTTGCCGCGCAATGCTTTTTTATTCGACATGATCATCGCATGATGGCGCTCTCTGGCGGAGCTGGTGTTTAAACTTCATTTACTAATCAACTATTGTAAGTATAAGAAGTTTGAAATGTTCAATATCCTAGCGCCAAACGAGAAACTGTGTTTTTACGTTTCACAATTTTTTTCAGGGGGGGGGGGGGAGTAGTTTGTTTTAATTCATTTATAATGCGAACTTTGAAGCTTTTTTCAGATATTTTTTTATTTGACTTTTATTAATCAGATCAGCCTTGTGGAGGAGCTTCGAATCGATAAAATTCATTACTTAATTACTTCAAACGGAAGAAAGAAAAGAAAAGAAAAAAGAGAAATTTCCTATTCTGAAACAGTAGTTCATAACGAATCTTTACCAAGGCTATATTGGTATGGAGGGAAAGTCCGCTTCGGTTATAATAGGACATTTCGTCAACGATTTTTTGTCCGTGCACCTGTTTTTCCCAGTAATTTACGTCCGCGCGTTTTTTCGGCACGGAGGTTTTGGTCCAAGTGCCAGTTGAGACCCAAAGTTAATTGGTCCACGTGTAAATACAAACGACAATTGCTCACGACGTTGTAGGATGAAAATGTATAATGTCTTGGAAGAATAAGGGTTTGCTTGTTTTTTTGTTGTTCGATCCAACGGAGAATAATATATGATTGAGATTTTTGGTAAAAATGAGGGAGCGTCAATTCCATTAGAGAAAATTCACTAAGACTCTCTACACCTCTTTGGTTCAACAGGACTTAATTATCCTTCAAGAAATTCCCACCTTGTTATACCGGAACCGGATGAACCTCTTGATTTGCCTCAGCTAAAAGCTCTTAGATTTTTCCTGCGTACGATAAGTATCTTGATTTATTTTGCGAGGAAACATCTGTACTTTCAAAGAATGCCTGTCATTCTTAATACGTTCAATTTCGTATAACACTGTGCAACACCTCTGTTGTGAAATAGTTGCTTCAGGCGCCGCCGCACGGCGGGCGGGCGGTCAGCGCGAAGCGCGCACTGGCGCCTACAAACCTAAGTGGATACTTCAAGCATTGTGCAATGCGAGAAGTATCCACTTAGGTTTGTAGGCGCCAGTGAGCCTCTCACGCTGGCAGCATGCCGCTCCGCTCTATTAGGCTCTAATATTTATACTCGCATAGTCAGCGTTTTTTAACCGATGATTTTGAAATGTTTGCACACTCTGCATTGATTATTCTCATTTAAATTGATGAAAAAAAAAATAAGTATCCATTTATCAAAGGAGAGTAATAATATAATGTGTTTTTTTTAAATATTGGTGGTTCCGTGTCAGATTTAATGATTTCCAAGGCACTTTAATTTTTTATTTTACATTTTGTGCTCTTACTGTGCTGCAGCGAGGTGTACGCGCAACCAAACGCTCAAAATTTGACGTATTTGACTCTAAAAGATCGATGTACAAAGGGGTTAAAAGTAAAGATTGCGTGCTTCTTGGTTTTTTCCCTCTTTTATTCATTTTTGAAGTTTCTTTCGCCAAAACTGCGGCTCATTGAGATTAGTATCGATGCCATCGCTTGGAAAAGGTTTTACAAATATGTGTCACGTTTTAAAAATATAAATGTTTACAAAATGAAGTTATAATTTTGTAAAAAAAAAAAAAAAAAAAAAAAAAAAAAAAAAATTAAAAAATAAAAAATAAAAAAAGTACCTATACATATGTAAGGTATACTGTACATCGAATATTTTAAGGATAGAAATAAAACCATATATTCACCAATGACAATTTAAAAAGATGAATCAAAAGGAGAAAGTAACATTTCATTTAGAAAGTGAGCAACCATAACAACACCCCCTTCTCTCTCAATTTCATGGTGTCAGTAAAATTTTACATTCCGACTAAAATATAACGCTTAGACCAAGTCACTGTTGCTTATTTTACGTGTGGGCGTAAACTATACTGGACAAAAAAGGAGCGCGGACAAAAAATCGTTGACAAATTGTCCTGAAATCGTCCGCTTCAGACATGTGATTCAAATTTGAATTAAATAATCAGACCTTGGCATTAAAAGTTTTGGAAACCTGCATCAATCGCTGTTAAACATTTATGAGAAGAGAGTTTACTTACAACAACAATCAAGTTTTCAAAATTCAAGTTTCCCACCCGGTACAAAGTTTCGCAAGAATCGATCGAACGAGAGCGGAGAGCCGCATACCGTACGATCAGTAGGGCTCGGAACAGAGGTAAACGAAACCGGTCGATTTACGTACGTTAGTGCGCCTTCAATTTCGTCTGATACTGTGCAATACTTCTGTGGTGGAATAGTTGCTCAGAGCGCCTTTCACAGTATCGTTTCGACTTAATGGCAGAAGATAAGGATTGATACTAATATAACACTCTAGGGCGTGCGTGATCACACATTTTTTCATCACTGACGGTGAGGTGAAAGACACTCATACCTTAATTTGCGACGTTGTAAGTTTTCACTGCTTACTTTATGTGGGTTAGAAAATACGAATACTTCAAAATCTGCCGTAATTTTTTCGAATTTTGATGAGAACTATTATTTTAATGTTTCATTCAAGTCTATTCGTATACTGTCTATAAAAAAGGGGGCAAAGGTATGAATAGGAAACTTTGAACGAACAAAAACGGACCCGAAATTGTATAGCCCTTAAAGTGAACGGGCCTGCTGAGAATCAATGGTTGAAACGCGTCAAAATATACTGAATATTTGTCTTTTAGTGATCAACTTCACTGGAAAAAAACACACATTGGATCTAGAGTCCAGACTCTTGAAAACATTGCCAAGAAAAAGGACTCTTGATTCAATCTGATTTATGCTTGAATCAAAACGAAATCCGCTTAAATTAAGAGGCTTGGTTCTTGATTTAAGCTAGATTCTGATTGAATCAAGAATATTTTTTCTTGTCAATGTTTTCAAGGGTCTGGACTCTAGTTCCAATGTGTTTTTTTTTCCAGTGTTTCAGTGATAAACTTGTTTTCTTTACGTGTCGATCCACTTTAATCTGAACAATTTTCTTTACGTGTTTTTAGAGATTTGTAGATCAATCCTATAACGTCAATCAGAAAGGGAGAAAGAATGACTCAACACGTATCTCACAACCCATCAATTCTCGATCGACTAAAAACCAAATTCTTGCCGGAGGCCGTCGCTTCCGGAGCTTTTGGTGACGTCACTTTCGTGGGTTTCGAGCCATCGCCTCGCCAAGACCTCGACCAATACATGTCAGACATCGTCTTCGGTGACGTCATCTTGTCCACCTCTCAGGGTCGCCGTGCAGAATCTGTGGTCGTGAAAGTCCACCCCAACACAGACTATGCAGCCGGATTCGAGATCGGTGCTCACTTTCACAATGAAGCGCTCTTCTACTGCGAGGTATTTATACCCCCTGTATTTTTTGTGGTTGTCCAATAGAAAAGACATCTTAAAGCCTAAAATTTTAGGAAAGTTGGCATGACTACGGGAGAGTAATATATCACGAATATTTCGATACTCAAAACGCCAGAAAGTACCAAATCAAAAAACAATTTGAAGTTTGCAGTCCGACTAACTTAGTTTTGAGCAACGGCAATTTAAAATGGAGATGTGAGATCCAGTCAACGCCAGTCGTGCTGAATAATTGTAATACAATAAATGATTCAATGTTCAACCCGGCAAATTATTTTTTCGATGGTTAACGGATTACGTAAAAAATTTCAGGAAATTCTAGTCGAATCACCCATTCACAAATAACTTTAAAAGAAAATTTACAACTGTTTTTGAGCACAATACCTAATAAATTATTAAACAATACCTCGCAATGGTGCGATGCAATTAAATCCCTCTAGCCCTAGATCCATCACGTTTGAACTATCACGTTTCGGCGAGGCAAGTTCCAGTTCAAAATAGGACTTTACACCTTACGTTGACCTAAAAAACGGGCTTTTACCGAGCGCTTAGCTGAAAGACCATAGTAATACCTGATACAGTTACACTTCAATTTTCGAGTAACTTAAGTTGCATAATCGCCGGTATGAAGGGGCACTCACGTTTTCGCTATACATATAATACTATCAGTTCACCCCAAAATCAATGCTGATTAACTGTAGGTTAAATCAAATATCAAACAGGGACAAGTTGACCCTACAGACTTAGAACTTGAGTATTCTGTTTTATTTTTTACGTGCTGTGTTATTTGCTACTTCCACACATTTTTAATGTATCATAATTTATTTTGATTCGCTCAAGATTATTCCGTTTTTCCGAAAATACGACGGTGATGGCTTTTTGAACGCATCGGTGCCCGGTTTTTTATACGGACGTGCGACAGGGAATCCAGAGGATGACGTCATCATTCTGAGGGATGTAACGGAGGAGGGATTCCGCATGACCGAGGAGAGATTGTTTTTGGACGAGAAGCACATCAAACTAGCACTGAATAGGCCAGTCCACGATATTTTCTTAAATAACTCGAACAGATCTGTTTGAAGTTTTTACTACAGGAAAAAATACGAGGTGTTTCTTCCAGCAAATTTCCTAAAAATCACGGAGAGTACCTACATGTAAAAAGTCTGAAAATCACTCCTAACTAATTTTCGCACTTTTGGGCATCCCGCTTCAAAGGGTACACTTTTCATTTTTATTTACGCAGCGTTCCTTATTAGTTCATTATAATGTCACTCCCGCAAGTCAACGGTATAGGTTCAGTAACCAATAAACTACCTCTAGTAAAATTTTCGTGTCTTTTTCGAAAGAAATACACCATTGCGTTCTATCTCGCGGTGGAACCTGGGACCATATGATGAGTACCGATCTCGAGTTCGAGATAACGAATATATCACCACCTCCCGACAAAATTATCACAAGCGCTATTTTTAAACAGATTCAACCAACAATTTCTCTGTAAAAAAATAAAATGACGGCGGAAACTTTTTAACGTCGCATGGCGCTTGTGATACTTCGCTCGGAGGGTGACGATAAATGCCATTCATTTCTTTTTTGTTTTTTTGTTTCGTTTTTATAGGTTAGCTAAATTCCACTCCCTCTCCTTCAAGAGCCTGCACGAAGATCCGGCAGGTTTCCAGAGGCTGGTGGCCAAAATCCAGACTCAATCGGTCAAGGCCCCCACGCGACCCGACAGCAAATTCGATTTCAACAGGCTCAAATTCCGCGGCCTGGAGCCCCTGAAAAGGGACCCGAAGTACGCGGACAGGTTGCCGGCCCTGGAAAAACACTGTGAAGGGGCCATCAAGTGGATGGGCAGTCTTAAAGTTCACCCGGGCCCGCTTAGCGTGCTGACTCGAGGCGACTGCACGAGGAACAACCTCATGTTCAAGTACGAGGGAAACGAGCCTTGTGAGGTTGTGTTTGTCGACTGGGCTGTCTTGAGGTACATCTTATTTTCACTATGATGATGGAGATGTTGCATGTGTGAGGAATTTGCGATTTGTCTGTTGATTCTTATGTAAAAGTTCGCGAGAAACACGATGGTGCCACTGGCTTTCTCTGAAATCAATTCCCAAGCTCAGAAAAAGCTCTCAAGTCGAGGCCAAAATGGAAGGGATAACCCACGCTATCCTGAGAGTCCACCTCTTCATCAAGACAAACTCTCCATGCAAAGATAGGGAGCAAATACATTGTCAGGGCTGCCACTTCATTTGGGGACTCTAAAACTGAAAACACAGCAACCCTGCAGATGTATTTTCTCCCTATCTGTGCATGGAGAGTTTGTCTTGATGTAGAGGTGGACTCTCAGGGTAGCGTGGGATATCCCCTCCGTTTTGACCTCAACTTGAGAGCTTTTTTCAGCTTGGGAGTTGATTTCAGAGAAAACAAGTGGCACAATTGTGTTTCTCGCGAACTTTTACATAAGAATCAACAGTCAAATCGCAAATTCCTCACACATGCAACATCTCCATTGGACGTATTTCTGTTAAACGGAACTAAGCGCCAAATTGAGTTCCTTTTGAAGATTTTAGAATCCCGGACAGCGCATTCTGTCAAACGGATGTCAAACGGAACTAAGTGCCAGGGAAAAGCATTGCCAGTATAGGATGGAACGAGCATCGCGTTCCGCAACACCCGCCAATCCTAGCCCCCCTCTCCCTTCCTCCCCCTATGGCGCTTAGTTCCGTTTGGTAGAAATACGTCCAATTGTGGATTGAGCAGGGTTTCGTAGAATTTTTAAGTTTTCAATTCCTTTTGTTTTTCCTTTGGTTTTTCTGGTTCGCAAGTAAAAAGAAAAGGTAGATTTCAGTGATACAATTATTACGGCGATCAAAGTTCAAAATTTTCAGCTGCAATGACTGTAAAAAACTAAAATACCCTGCAATTTTTTTTGCATTTTTTTTTTTTTCATGCTGAATTTTAACGCACGTTGGCAAAAAACTCCAACATACTGTTTTTCAATTTTACTTAATTTTCCCTCTTAACTTGATATTTTTACTTGTAGGTACAGCACCCTAGTAATAGACTTGAGCGTGTTGCTGACCCTCAACACCTCCCCGGAGGCGAAGCGGACCCATTGGGACGACTACCTCCACACATACCACAGCGCCCTCTCGCGGCAGCTCCAGGGATACCCCGCGATACCCTTCGAGACCTTGGAGCAAGAGATGCGGAAAAAAGGCGTTTACGGGTACTACTGGTCAGTCTTCCTCCTTCCAGCCGCCCTTGAGACGGACGCCAAAAACCGACTCGAAGCCCTAGCCAAAGACGATGAGGCCAAGATGAAATATCTGATGGAATTTGGCGGACCCCAAGCTACAGCGTATCTTGGCGAGATCGTTAAGTTCATGTTCGATAGGAACTATGTGTTTCAGCTCTAGGAAGTGGACCTTTAAGTGCTCGGTTCATTTTCAACGAAGAAGTATACGATCATTGGCGGATCCACCAAATTGGGAACATTGTTTTTCTCCATTTAAACCTATTGAAATATATCGATTCATGGAAGGGCCAGGTGCTCCAATAGGAATCGATTATTTAACATAGGTTTAAATGGAGGGGATCCAGTGTTGCCAAATTGCTGGATCCGCCTCTGTATATACGACATTATAATATTTAGTGGAGTCAGGAAAAAGGTTTCTTAAGGTGAAAACTCAAAATGTCCAGTAAAATGAAAAAAACGATCTGGGGGTTGATGACGTGCGCATGTAAATCAGATTAAGGCTAGTCTCAAAAAGTTACAAGCAAACAACGGAATATTAAACCTAAATTTTTCAGTCTCAAGGCATCAGTTTGACTGTTTTTAGACCATGGCATCCCTTGTGATTTTTCGAATTTAAACTTGTTACCTTATCGATCGATCATTGTATTGTTACATGACAGTGTATTGTATTGTATACTGGTACACAGTAGTGAATTTCTTTGCTGCTCATTGGATGTGCTTCCATAGAAAAATACTTTGTAATCATGGTATTATGTGACGATATTTGCTCATTGAAATTTCATGATTATATTCGCTCGTCAAAACAAACAAAAAAAAAAAACAAAAAAAGAATTTTTGTAGGGCTTTGGAAAAAGTTATACAATGTTATATTGTGTTTGCAATCAGTGCCGTTTAGTTTTAAGATAATGAATTTTGAGGTGTCATGAAATGCATTTACGCCTAATTTTAGTTCAAATTCTAATACAATTCATCCATTTCACTCTCATTAAGTTCACTTTCTTTCATCTCGGAGATTCAATGGCTTAAACACTTACTCTACCCGTGTATTATCGCCATTTGAAAAATAAAGAAATTGTTTCCGTCACAGTAGAAAAGACACGATAAATAAGTTGAGTTAGAACACTAGAGCTTGGGTCGCTCAAAAAAAAAAAAAAACACCGAAGGAAGATGGAAAACAAGAAATCTCGGGGAGAATTTTCCTCCCGCTTCATCTCGAAGAAAACGTTCCCGAAAGTGAGCAACTCCCCTCGTATAATTAGCCGAGTAGGGGAGAAAGTAAAACAACGTTGCCATTTCGCATATTACAATCTCATTTCCTACAACGCATCGCAGCCCATATTTAGGAGATTCGGCAACATGGGGGTATAGACTCGCCGACTCGGACCGGAAGCGGATGTGTGATACGCTCCGGAACCGGAAACCCATTCATAAATATGTATCGAAAGAATTCGCTGCTCGGAGCCGGGAGCCGGAGCCACCGACCNGAGAGGGGGGAGGGGGGGGGGGATTAGCATAATATTGGGGCAGAAATACGGCCAGATAAAAATACACGAAAATACGGACGAGTTGGGACTCCGGACATGAAGAATCTTCTGTCGAAACTGGCGAGTTTGCCGGAATTTGGGAATTCAAAGTCTATTTGGATCGCGCACTGGAAAAAAAAAACACATTGGATCTGGAGTCCAGACTCTTGAAAACATTGACAAGAAAAAATACTCTTGATTCAATCAGATTTAAGCTTAAATCAAAAGGAAATCCGCTCAAATTAAGAGGCTTGCTTCTTGATTTCGTCACCTTCCGGGCAAAGTATCACAAGCGCCATGCGACGCTTCAAAATTTCCGCCGCCATTTTATTTTATTACAGAGAAATTGTTGGTTGAATCTGTTTGAAAATTTCACTGAATTTTATCGGCATCGCAAAGAAAATTCAGTGTTTTCGGACAGCTTCGTTGAACAATTTCTCTGTAAAAAAATAAAACGGCGGCGGAATTTTTGAAACGTCGCATGGCGCTTGTGATACTTTGCCCGGAAGGTGACGATTTAAGCTTAAATCTGATTGAATCAAGAGTATTTTTTCTTGTCGATGTTTTTAAAAGTCTGGACTCTAGATCCAATGTGTTTTTTTTCCAGTGCGTTTAACAAAAAGGAACCAGCGTAATTAAAATGTTGTAAAAACCTTGCTTCTTCATATTTATCAAAAAATTGTCTCAGAGTAGCAAATGTTTTTTGCTTTCCACCAAAAAATTGTTAATTTTAAAGGAGAATAATCGTGTGAATTTTAATATTGTAAATATATTGAGTATTTTTAAAAGGAAAGAAGAATTTTCACGATTTTGAAAACACTGTAATCGCGCTGGTTCTTTTTTGCTAAATGCGATCAAATTTATCCTTGGTACCCATCCTTTACTTCGGTTCCCGTTCTTCTCGTAATTTTACGTAAAACAACGAAAGTCGAAAGAAAAAAACAAAGACCAAACTTGGTTAACAACTTGGTTATGTCCATTTGAATATATTATTGAATGCATCATGATTAATTTTTTTTTCGATTGGGGAACTTTTTAAACTAAAAAGCTTTTTCTTAAAAAAAGTAAAAACTATTTTTTGAAGGCATGAAGTAGCATTGCAATGATACTTACAATAAATTCAGGCTGATCAAGTCCTTGAAAGTATCCTTCCGGATGCATGATATCTCGTTGGCATTCAGTAACCTGCAATCATTCGAAAGGCGAAACATCAGACAAAAGTTGCGCAAAAATGAAGGCTATGATCCCGTATAAAAAAAAAAAAAAAATTCACATATGATTGGGGTCATATTTTTGCGCTTTATCGAGGAGTTAAATTTTAATCATTTGAGTTGCATTGGCCATTCGGAAGTTTTATTGTAGAAAAAATTGGAGGTATTGTGCGTAAAAGAGCTCCGAAATATTTTTTAAAAACAAAATTGCGTCATTGGTTATTTTGAGAAATGTTGGGTTTCAGATATTGAGTATAAAATATGGAAAATTAAAACCGAGTTTTTGCTCACCAGTTTAAATATTTTCTGGGTGAAGTGGCTCCGTGAAATTTCTCAACGCACCATGTACGCTTTTGTCGAAAACATTAAAATGTGACTCAATAAGTCCAAGTGCTGAAAATTTCAAATACTATCAAAGAAAAGAAGAAAATTCAATTTGCTCCAGAGTTCTTGATTCAGAACTTGGAAAGATACTTACAGAAGTTGTAAGGACGTTAATCCATGAAAGACGCCTTTCGGAAGATCCTTGATCTTGTTTCCATACAAGACCCTGAAACAAAAGAGAAAGTAATTAATTATTGGTTTACGAAGAAAAATCAGACTGACTTTGAGTAAAGTCGTATCATACTCGGTCCACACTGAGGACAAAGCACGCGTACGAGATAATAACGGTGAGCTCTGCTCTGTATAACGTGATTGTAAAATTTGCAAGGCGCTGTGAGATAACTATTCGAACTCCTATGCCGGTCACATTGCCGTCCGTCGAAATTGAAGGCGAAACGTCTTCGGAAACTAGCGCGACTTCTTGACCGGTCTGGCCACGCACAACCGCGGAGTTTACTCACTGCATTAGCGGGTCGATTTCGATTAAAAAATCGTTATCGAGTGACTTGTATCGATAAATTCTTATTTTTGTTGGCTTTAGTATCGATCACAGTCTTTCGATAATGATTTAATAATCCATGTGCAGGATTTTTTGTGGTCTTCCTAGAACACCTATGTAGAAACAGTACGGACAAGACGAAGTAGTCTTAGGGCCCAACCCAAGTAGCATCTCTCAACGGAAAAATCGCAATATTGCGATTTTATCGCCAATAAAATCGCCAGGATCATCAACATTTGAGCGATTATCCTTGATTTAATCGCAATAAAATCGCGCTTTTAGCGCCTGACAATTGATCGCGATATTTTCAGAATAAAAATCGCGATAAATGGCAATTTAATTTGACGAAATTCGAAACATCTCAAAACTTTGAATCTCTCGCTCAAATTGTCACAAAAATGATAAAAAAAATTCCGGACCCTCTTGCAGAATTTCCGCAATGTTTCAGTACTTCTGGACAGCCCTTTAAAAAATCAATACTATCTCTAGACTTTCCGGAAATTCCGGACTTGTAGACACCCTGAAAAAAAATGTTCTGTGTTTGTTTACATTTGAACCAAGGGTTCGATATTATATCGAATGACGCCACTAAGTCAGTCTATAGTGATCTAGTGATCTCCCGGTAGCTCAACTTTTCGCGGTCGAAATTAAGGTACTCACGTCGCCGATCGGGAGATTTTTGTCACACTTCGGCGGCAGCAACGGGGCCGTGCTAAAGTGTTTCGCGGCGTGTTTCCAAGACGTGTTGCGTTTTTATTGTTTTTATTGAGGCCCTAAATCTATTTTAGTGCTTCCGTGACGACGTTAATAAAAATGCCGAGTGCGGCTGCATCGAGACTGATATTTTCCCCGCCTCTCATAAATATACAACACGTGGATTCCAACCGGACGTATTTCTGCCAAACGGAACTACGTGCATTGAGACGTGAGCCCTGAGTCCCATAAGAATATATACACAACAGGGCTCACGCCATAATGCGCATAATTCCGTTCAGCAGAAATACGTCCGACTGCACCGAGGAGGAAGAGTAATGGGGGCATTCACTCTCTTTGTTCTTGTCCCGTAAAAATCCCATTTAAAGGATTAAATCCCGTACCAGGGCATGAGGTGACTACGGGAAAATCAATTTCCAACGGGACGATATCGGAGCTATTATCGAGCTCTTTTCTTTCGGTTTTGCGGGCTCGATGCCTGGGAGTGTGATTGATTGCATCGTCGCGTTGATTGTGCTACTGGTTACCTTTACGATGCTGGTCATGCAATTTTATTTTTAACAGTCAACAATTATTGAGGATGTTCCAGAGTACAGGGGATGAAGGAAGTGTCCTACTGAACAAATGCACTCTTATGTGTTTCACATTGCCACTCAGAAGTTGCAACTTGCGAGGGAGTAGCGCATTGGACTATCACGAATGCGGTCCTACCTGAAGTGCTGCCGTGCTAAGGAAAAACGCCGTATGAATATATAAGAGTTGCCAAATTTCCTCCCATAAAAGGTTTATTTTTGAGGACGAATATCACTGGGGAAAAAAACCACCTTGGATCTAGAGTCTGATGCCTTGCACTGACGCCTACAAACCTAAGGGACTACCTCACGCATCGCGCAATGCTTGAAGTATCCATTTAGGTTTGTAGGCGTCAGTGCGCGTTTCGAGATGGCAGCGGCAGCACGCCGCCGCCGCTCCGCAGCGTGCCATAAGCTTGCCCACAATTAATAGGTCAGGGTGTTAAAATGAAGCCAATTTGACATCACTGGAAAAAAAAACACATTGGATCTAGAGTCCGGACTCTTAAAAACATCGACAAGAAAAAGTACTCTTGATTCAATCAGAATCTAGCTTAAGTCAAGAACCAAGCCTCTTAATTTAAGCGGATTCCGTTTTGATTCAACCAAAAATCCGATTGAATCAAGAGTATTTCTTCTTGTCAATGTTTTCAAGAGTCTGGACTCTAGATCCAATGTCTTTTTTTTCCAGTGATTTACATTTTTCCTTCGTTTTTTCAGAAATTTAGGAGAAATTACGAATAAAGTTATCAGAAAAATTGGAAGAGGAATATTCATAAGTTCCCCAGGCGCATTGAGTGTTATCAAAGGAAAGTCGGCAACGCCTGAGGGTTCATACGGCGTTTTTCCTAAGCACGGCAGAGTGCAGTACCTCCATAGGGAGATTACGGACAAGTCGGTAATTTTGCGGTTGGGTCACGGAGCTTATTTAGGATCCAAAGGGGCGGCCAATCAATGAATTCAAATTATTCAGAGTGATTCATCATAACAATTGTTACGACCCGTGTAAAGTAGGTATTTTACTTAATTTGGCTTAAATTCACTCAATTTTCCGGAGGAACGCTCATTTATAAACATTATTATTGGCTATCTTGGTTTGCTATTTAAATCTGAAAATTGGCGTTGGTATTTTTGGTGTTAGAAGATTGGCTGCCCTTTGGGGCCTTAAGAGATCCATATTTCAACATTTTCGTTACCCTATTTAGGTATTCTAGTGCGGTCCAGGCGCAATCCGCGATTCTTAACGAAATCCATTTTTTAATTCAAAGATTTGACCAATGTAACCTAAAAATAAATAAACAAAGAATATTAACCGCACGTTTAGGATAGAGTCTCTTTATACTGAGAGTCAAGACAATGTGAATCCATTTCTGATTGGTTCCCGTATTTTAGGCCTCCACATTGTCACAAACGGGAATAAAGATTACATTTTCACTAAACGCAAAGATTATAATCTGGAATGGACCGAGGAATCACGGGTTCGACAAGGAACAAACAGAATGAAAGAAGGAACGGAGAAAGGAATTTGAGAATGGGCCGATCAAAGATTACAAAAAACGTTCAATTTGTGTAATCTTTATTCCCGTTTGAGACGGGGTATTGTTTTGACTCTCAGTATAAAGGGACTCTAGTTTAGGTTACTTTGTTTTCTTTCTACTTGTTCATATAGACAGATAATGTCTGTTGCTTCATTTTATCGTATGAGCGAGAAATTAAGCGACGCGAAGTGCATTTAAGTTGCTTATTGTAAAATCGATCCAAATAAAATTCGCTCTCATTGAAAGTTCCTGCGAAAAATAAAGCCAGTGGTTCCATGTTCGCCTACTTCCACTCAAAAGAGTATAGGCCGGTTTGACGAGTATAGATTTCAAAACACCACGAAATTGAGATGCGTGTTTTCGTGGCTGCCCGACGGAATAAATCCCCGACGAAAGAGGAAAACAAGAGCCCGGTCGCGTAGCCCTCCTGAAATTATTTCCATCCCCAACCCCCCCTCCCACGTATCCCCATCGAAATTCCATTTCTCTCCGATTCCTTCCATACCGGGCCGTCCCCACTTTTTATCACTCCTCGCTTTCTCCGTCGGATTTCTTCCGCGCCACCGCGTCCGCCTCTCGTCCCTCGCTTATTTTTGCGGTCGTAATTTCAGCGTTTCAGCCGCCTCCGCGTTTCAGCATTTCAGCCGGACACACCGCAAACTTGACCGCGCCTCGTAAATAATACTTAGCCGAGACCGCAGTCCGTGTGCTCTGCTGAGCTTTGGAAGGTGTTCCAGTCATCGGAGAAGGTGCCGACGCTGCAGATAGGAACGAAAACGTGAAAAAGTTAAGCGCTTAATGGCCGCATTGGCGATTTTCTCATTATGGCTTGTCCTGAACACACGTGGACGCGTTTATGCCAAAAGAAACTATGCTGCACGCAAACCCTATGCACATACACTGAAAAAAAAGTATGGTAATATCTACTAAAAGTCTACTTGATTTTTTACACAGTGATACTATTTAGTGAAAATAACCAGAATTATAATAGTATTTACTATGGGTATGATACTATTTCCAATTCATATCTTCCTACGCCTCTGATCAATTGGATCAACATGTAAACGTGGCATCAAAACTTAAAAAGTCAATTTAGAAATCGGAACGGAACGGATTTTTCGGATTTAGAATCGGGAACGGATCTTTCGTGACAGATTTTTTATTCTTTCGAGTACCAAATGCAATGAAAAGTGAAATTGTTAGGAATGTTCTCATTTTCAGCTTTTCCAACTTACATCCTAAAATTTTTGTTTGAGGTTATCGTTGTTGTTGTTTTTGTAGGTTGATTGGCCTAATTCTGCATTGCAGATCAACAGCCACTTACAAAAGTTCGGGATCGCACACTATATGACAATTTCCCTAGAGAATAAACAAAGTTTAATGTCTTGGTCAATAGTTGGTTCGATTATAATCTATTCCATTGTTTTGAACCAAACGATACATCGAACCACTATCGAATACGATCCAGGGTAGATTAATCGATGTATCGCAAAGCACGCTACGCCACCGCACTACCCTACGGATTGCAGTGCAGGTTCTCTGAATTACGATGTCTCTGCGTCAGGTTGAAAAAGTCCGAAAACACTTGCTCCAAACTGCGAACTGTGGAGAAACTTGGAGCAGGGCTAAAAAACAAGAGGAGCGACAAAGTTGCTGGAAGTCGGACTCATGGCGATACTCAACAACATCGTTGGAAGCGACGGCGATGGCGGCTGCGGTTTCGCGTCGCGTTTATTGTTTTCGCGTGATTTAGCGAGACCGGGCGACCGGGCGAGACGCCTCGTTACGAGCTGAGTTACGGCCGAAATTAAGCGGGAGCTGCAAAAATGAACCGCAAAAAACTCCCCGTAACCACTTGTAATCGAGGTTTTTCGCCCGTGTCGTAAACTTGATGAAATTATGAATGCAACCCCACGCTGTTGCCGCATTTTGAAGCCCTTTTGATAAAAGGTTTCTTTTTCTTTTTTTTTTTTATTGAATGATTCAGGGTAACTAGCAACATTTCATTTTATTACGAAAACAAATGTTGAGCTATTAGCCGATTTAACAAAAAAAAAAGTCTAAAAAAAAGGTAAAAAAAGTTTGTTAAGTCGGCTAATAGCTCAACATTTGTTTTCGCATTATGAGTAGCCGAAAACCGAGAAATTTCGTCTTTCATTTTATCATTCCCTTACTTTGATCCGATAACGTAACACTGGAAAAAAAACACATTGGATCTAGAGTCCAGACTCTTGAAAACATTGACAAGAAAAAATACTCTTGATTCAATCGGATTTTTGCTTGAATCAAAACGAAATCCGCTTAAATTAAGAGGCTTGGTTCTTGATTTAAGCTAGANTTTTTTTTTTTTTTTTTTTTTTTCAGTGAAGGGCACTTAATTTATCAGGGTGTCTACTGGTACCCTGTCACTCGCATTCCTTGCTTTTTCCTTACTTTTCCGAAAATTCCGAGGTTTCAAAAAACACAAACACATTGAACATGTTTAAAATATCCAAAATGAACCTTAGAACGAGAATTCAAATTTCCCGCCTTAAGTATCCAATATGAACGTTGCTAAATTATCAATACGCCAAATCAGCTAAAATAAGTCCGTGCTTTAGAGATCCCTTAAAAAGTCGACCGATTCAATTTTGCCTGGTGAGCCACGTTTATTTTCATGTATACTTAAACGACCCCACATTAGACAAAGATGCTTGAACACACATCAGCTGAGAAGAGCACTTTCTCAGAAAAGATCAAAGCTCCAACCCACAAGAAGAGGAGCACGCTTTGACATCCATGTCTCTTGCAGCTCTAAAAGTCATAATTTTCATCTATTATTACCCCGACCTTGGTTCTGCAATAACATTATGATTAAACAAGCGGTGCAAACAAAACATTAAAACTAAGTAGTCGTTTTATTCGCACAGACAAAAAAACATCCGAGTTGAGGGAAAATAAATGAAGAAGAGAGGCGATATGAAGACGGCTGGTGTGCAGTGGCGTGGCGTGTTTTGCGATTTATCGGTTGATCTGCCATTTAAACATATGGTAAAGAATCGATTATTAAGGTGTTCGCTGCGAACACCCTGTCTATCGATCTTTTTCCGTGGGTTTAAATGGCATAACAATCGATATATCGCAATTCACGCCACGGCACTGCTGGTGAGTCTGGGCGAACCGCTCCGGGAGCGCCAGACTCTTGTAAATAATTAAGTTGTAATTCGTGGAGTCGGGACTGAATTGACGCTCAACGCTCATTTATGCAAAATAACGTCGCTGTAATTTTTAATTGAGGGGTGAGGACCTGAATCAGAAGTAATGTGTCAAAGGACTCCACACAATATACCATTAGATGGGATAAGAATTGAATTATCACGAGACATATTTTCTCTTAAGGATTAGAAACATGGAGAGAATCCTAGTGGCAAAACTGTTTTTAAAAAAAGGGAGAAAAAACATTTTTTTCAGCACCCGTAAAATTTATAACTCTTAAAAAAACTGTTAAATTTTTATTTTAGGAAACTTTTTTGGACATACTTCATTAAAGAAAATTTACGAATGGTAAAATTTAAGTGGGAAGAGGGTTACAAAACTCTTCAGAGATTGACTGTGGATATTAACACCTAAAATGATTGAAAAATGTAAAAAAAACCGCTTAAAGTAATTATATATATTTTTTTAATAATAATTTTAAAGGTAAATTTCACCCAACGTAAATTTTACTTAGACATTAACCCAAGAAGGTTTCCTGAAAAATAATTATTGAAAGTTTTTGGAACTTGTTTTATAAGGGCCGTTGGCACTGAGGAGCAACAAATGAAAAGATCAAATGATTTTAAGACATTTTCTCGTACGTAGGGATCTATCTTATAATTGGACTTCATTTTGCAATCAGAAGTTCATGAGTAAAACCACGTACGTACATAGGGAAACTAATGGTACACATTCAGTTCCTAAACTGAGTCAGAAATTTTGTTTCCGAACTGCAAAATGTAGTCCAATTTGCAAAACCTGGAAACAATTTAATTTGTATTTTGTGAAAAATCATTTCCATTCCTTTCAAGGATTTATTTCCGCAATTAAACTATTAAATTTTACTTACAATTTGTAATAACTGTCCTCTTTACTAGTTAAACCTTGTTACCGTTGGTCAATACCAAGGATAAATTATGCACAAACGAGACACATATGATCTATGATGAAGTGAATATGCAAGGCACTATGAGATAACTATTCGAACACCAGTGCCGGTCACATTGCCGTCCGTCGAAATTGAAGGCGAAACGTACTCGGACAATTACGCGACTTCTCGACTGGTACGTTAAACTTTAAGTTTCACAACTAAATCAACTCATTGAACTTTGAAGTTTGATAAATTTAGAGAAATAGACAATAAAAATATACTTACAAAGAATTCAGAGACTTTAGACCTTGAAACGCGTCGGCGGCGACTTTGGAAATGTGGTTCTTGCTGAGATCTCTGAAAAAAGAGAGAAGACGTAGAGGCATTAAGAAGAGTTTCAGGAATGAAAACACGCTTTAACACAAAATATGATGAGATTGGGCAGAATGGACCAACAGTTGGAGTGAAAAAATAAAAATACTGAACCGCAGCTCATGAAGGCTGGATTCTGCAACATTTGGTGCGAAATACTCCCAAAAATAACTTTTAGAGAGCCGTTCGAGAACAATGAATTGTGAACTTCAAAAGAACGAATTTTAGGTTTGCCAGCTTTCTAACGACTCATTTTGATCCCTTGTGACACTTCTTTTAATGCAGATTTCGACTTGAAATTTTGATCTTACGTTCTTGAGACCATTCGAAAGCGATGAGCATCAAAAACTGACTAACTACATCTTCACCATAAATTGTAAATCTCACTGTTCTAGATAGGGATCAAAATCTCCCGTGAAAGGCAAGTCCTAGGAATGGTAACGAGCATTCTGGAAGTGTTAAAGATGGCCCTTCAAAGTGTGAGTGATTACTTTGTATCTACACGTGCATATGTCTGTTTATTTTGTCAAAGCTCCCTGAGAAAATAAATTTTGGCTGGGAATTTGCTGGAACTTTTCTGGAGAGGCTCCACTTAGATTCCTGGTTCCGGTAGATTCCGGAAGGCTCCCCTCTAAAAAATTTCGAAATTTTGTAGCATCTCATAAGCAGTTTAAGTAAATTTTGTCATGAATAATTACCGAATGCAGGCATTCACCCTTCTTCTTTCCTCCATTCCCCTTTTTTTTCTCTCCCCTGTATCTTCCACCTTTTTCGGGCGAGGGGATGGGGTGGGGGGTTGGCGTACGTCTCCTACGCCCCCCCCCCCTCTGGATCTGCCTATGCACATTATATCTGAATCCATCACAAATTATGATAGACATAATTTTATTTATGAAGTGTGTTCTCACCATTCGTCATCTTATTTGCCCCTTTTTTTAAAAAAAACGGAGACGAGAAAGGTTCAGGAATCAATTTTTCACGGAGGGTACGCGCCGAATCAAAAACGCGTCGGGAACATTGCAGTCAACGACACAACCCATTACGTTACACTACCTAGAAGTGAGCGGCTCCATATTAATAAAACGTCTCTTCCATAAACACAGCCGAAGAGGATATTCAAAGCCTTTGCTGAGCACTGGGAGCCTCCCCTCAAGGCCAATCCATCAAGCACCCCCGGTTGCCCGGCTTTGTCGAAGGCAATTGCGTTAGCGGAGGAATGTGAAATATGAAAAACGTAATGCAATAAATATCCGGACAAACAGCTGGGTCCGTCGAAACGGCTTATCGAGGGATCGTAAATGCTACGGACAATTCTGTTCGCGACTTCATCCATCTCGGGGCGAATTGAGTTACGTTGGCCGGCGGAGTGGCGGCACCCCTTTCGAGCAGGTGAAGGGATGAGGGTGGATGCTCAGCGGCCCATCAATTTTTCCGCGAGGGTACCTTCGTTGAAAGCACGTGCTTGGAACCGCAAGGAGAATACCCGTTATGCAGAATCGCGTTTAGAGGGCCAGTGGTTGAGGATTTCATTGCATGGATGACATTCCGCAGACAGTCCGTTCGTAAATGACGTTATGCACCTAAAGGAAGGAGGGCGGTGCGGAGGTGCCTGTTTTGAGAGTGAAATTCTTGATTCTTATAGCTAAAATAGTGGTGTTTCAGATCGGTAAGCCAGGATTGCGCGAAAGGTCTAAGAAAATATATGAGGATTGCGCGAATAGAAACCTTAACATCTGCCACAGGAATGCGTGAGTTTAAAATGAAATTAATTTAAGGTAGAAGTTTAGCAAAACAGGAAAAAGTTGGTAAATAAACGCATTTTTATGTTAGCGCTAGTTTAGGTTAGTTTGTTGACAAGTCATCGATATCGTACCTTCTCACGATAAATGCAAGGAAAATATTGAGTGATGGTCGTGGGTATAAAGAACTTTCCTAACTTTTCTCAGAAAAATATTTAGTCGGGTGAAACGAGGCAACGTTGGAATGCTCATACATCGTCGAAACACAACGTAGGCCTTTGAAGCTCTATTATTCGATGCCGTGATTATTCTAACGCGAGTTCGAATAATCGTAACGAACACAGTGCGGCCATCGTTAAACGTATATCAGCGCCTGCAAGACTTTAGTAATACTTCGCGCATTGCGCCAAAGAGTGTGGTCGGCGTAAAGCCCTTATTAGCGCCTACAAGACTGCATGAATACTTCTCGCATTGCGCCAAACGCAAGGCAGTCGGTATCAGAAAAATTCGCGCAATCCTAAGCATCTCCAAAAAGATGAAAAAAAGGGACATTCGCGCAATCCTATCGCAGCCTTTCAGATGAACTTATGATCAATGGTGGCTATAACAAATGATCATAAGTTGACCGTCGAGCGATATTTTTACCACAACTTCGATAATAGTATCCTTTAATGGCAGTGGTGCAATTACTTCTCGACCACGCGACCGAGCGGGTCGCAATTGTTGGCGTGAATGAATGGGAAGGCCCCGAAAACGGGATTTTTCGATGGGAAAGCCGGGAAAATCGCGTTTTTATTTGAAAAAATTCGGTGAAAATCACTTGTTTTTCTCAAAATCGTGCTAAAAATCACGTGTTTTTCGCAAGATCGCGGAAATTTGAACATACAGAGTCATACAAAAGTTATTTTATTGGAATTTCTGGGGAAAAGAAGTTTTTTAAAATGGAAAGGCCAATTCAATAAATGGAGAGCTTTCTGCATCTCTATTTGATGGTAAAAATATTCTTGTTCGTTATGGCTGCCGTTACTTGAGAGTTCGTATTTGGAACAGCACTACTACGGTGATTTTGCCCATTGTTTTATTCTTATTGTGGAATGTACGACAAGTTACAATAGGAAGCTAGTTTTAAAAAGAATAATAAAGAGAATAAATACGTAAAAACTTCAACGCTTTGAAGAGCTACACTGCCGTGCTAAGGAAAAACGCCGTATGAACCTTTAGGCGTTGCCAAATTTCCTGATAAAAAACGAATTTCCTGGTAAACTTATGAATAGTTCTATTCCAATTTTTCAGATAATTTTGCTTGCTATTTCACCTGAAGTTCCTAAAAATTTCAAATTTATAGGAATTAATAGGAATTTTATTATAGCTAATTTATAGGAAAATTTCTGAATATTTTTCTGAATATTTTTCTGTCAATTTTTCAGATAATGTTGTATGTAATTTGATCTAAATTGCTAGAAAATTTCAAGGAAAAATATTCATACCGCTCCGCAAAAATAAACATTTTACCGAAGGAAATTTGGCAACTCTCAAATGCTCATACGGCGTTCTTCTTCAGCACGTCAGTACATGAGGAAGGTGAAAAAAAAGGATGAAACGGAGGAGACCTCGCAATTATCTTCAATTGCGAAGAATTTATATCCCTCGGAACTTCCATTTAATTCAGTGAGGCCTTCGGCCCCTCAATCTTCGGTAAACACGGGTGTAAAAAGCTGTGTCTGGATCAAAGGCGCCCTTTGTGGGAGGCGAGAAACAGCGGAATGCGTTAACACCCCGATTCCGTCGAGGGGAACGAGGGAGCCTCCGATGCGTGGTGCGTGAAGAGATGAAGTAACAAGCTCATCCAAGTGTCTTTTTTCGAGTTCATAAAAATCCACGAACAGCCGTAAAATCACCCTCACACCCGGATCAGAATTCCTTTCGCCTTTCCGACGATTTATTCTGCGGATAAGCCGTTTTCACGGATGCGGGATGCCAGACGGACTTCAAAATGGAACAAGACAAAAGTCCCCGAAATGTTAGTGCACTGAGATAAACCTATGGTCAGTGTTCGAAACTCACAGGCGCCAACGCGCCAAATGCGCCTAAAAAATCGGCCATGGCGCCGAAAAAACAAAGGCTCTGCGTCAACGTGGCCCCTAAAAAGTGAAGAAATCCTAATTTTTCTGTTCGGTGATTTTTCGAAAGTAACAAGTTCCAGCTACTAGTTCTGCAACTCTAACATCTTGCGTCTGACTTTTCACAAAATGCGCCGTGATATACAGGCGAAAAGTCAATTTGGCCCCTAAAAAATCTTCAATGGCCCCTAGAAATTGAGCTTGATGGGCCACATGGCTCCTGAAAATATAAGATGAGTTTCGAACACTGCCCATGGTTAAAAGTACCGTATCAGTAGCGTTATTAGGGTCCGTCCCAAAATTACGTAACGCTAAATGTGCGCTTTTTGCGCATACCTTCCGCAGCCTCCCCTTTCTCCCCAGTAACGCTCCGTAACGCTGTATTAGACCGCCCCCCCCCACATTACGATAAAGCATAATCTAAATATCACCTTACATTTACTGAACGGCTTGGCGTTTCCATTTGGTGTAGAAAAGTGAAAGTGTTGCAGAGAATATTTTCGAGATTCTTTAAGAATTCTAAAGACGACCGATAAAAAATTCTACAGAAGCTCGAAAAAAAAAATTACTAAAACTCGTTACGTAACGCTTTGCTCTGTATCTCCTCACCACTATGATACCCTGGAGAGACTTATTATTAATGTTCTGAACCAAAAATTAGCGAGAGGTCAATGTGACACCACGGCAACCTCTGACAGGGTCTTGAGTAAGCAGCCCGAAGAAAACTCCCCTTTATGAACCTCGACACCCGCCGCCCACCCGCCCGCCGAAACCCACCCTTGTCCCTGCCTCATAAAATCTCATTTTCCGCCCGTAATATCTGCGGCGAGTGAAAACCCGCATAAAAAACTATTAGGCCCGTGTTTATTGGACAGCGCGCGGTAATTAACTGCTGTTGAGCCCGCAAAAAAAGTTTGAAGCTTTCTTCGGACAACTTTCCGGCGGGGCCCGCCTCTCTTGTTTTTCTATTTCCTCTTCCTTGTAAGCGCCCTCACTCACCCCACGATTGATTTACGCCGACTGATTTTCGCTCGGTGCTTTTTAGCGCGCTTTACGGGCGCAAAACGAGGAGAAAGCTCTCGAGCAAAGGAGCAAAGTTAGGTGTGGTTCCGACGAAACTTTCATTAAACTTCGGCTTCATAATAGCGTGAAATTAGGAGAGAAATGTGATACTACAGTGAAGAGGACTCTGCACGGAGAACCGTGTATTGTTTGACGCCGGATGTATTCGTTATTATTAGTTGTTAAAATGAAGAGGAAGAAGGGGAGAAGGAAGAGATGAAGAAGGGAAGGAAGAGAAAAAGAAGAAGAGAAAGAAGAGAAGGAAAAGAAGAAGAGAAGGAAGAGGAGAAGGAGAAAAGAAGAAGAGAAGGAAGAGGAGAAGGAGGAAAGAAAGAGAAGAGGAAGAGAAAGAAGAAGAGAAGGAGGAGGAGAAGAAGGGAAGAAAGCGAAGAAGAAGAGGAGGAAGACGAGAAGGAAGAGGAGAAGAAGGGAAGAAAGCGAAGAAGAAGAGGAGGAAGACGAGAAGAAGGGAAGAAAGAGAAGAAGAAGAGAATGAAGAGAAGAAGAGAAGGAAGAAATGAATAGAAGGCAGACAAGAAGAAGGAAAGGAAGATAAGAAAGAGAAGGAAGAGAAGAAGGAGAAAAAGCAAAAGACGATATAACGCATAATGATATAATGAAGCGTAACAAATTGGAAATGCAAATGTACTTACATCCTCCGGAGCATTTTGTAGCTCGTGAAAGCTTTTGGTGGTATCTCTGTGATTTCATTTTGCTCGAGCCGTCTGAAAACAAGAAATTGAACATTTTATTTACGATCCAACGAGAGTAAATTATTGAACAAAAACTGAAATTGATCTTATGGAATATCTAATAATTTTTATAAAGTCTTGAGACAAGCAGACATCAGAGAGTTTACACTGATTCCTCCTTCATTCGGTCAGTCAGTTGCATTCTCATTCTCTTGTTTTTATTGTTCACTTTTATTTTCGGATTCAGTTTGGAATCGGTGTGTAATTGACCTGAAGCGCACTGACGGGGTTTGTTTAACATTTTAGCCTTGTTACTAATTTTTTGGGTGCATTCTTAGTGTAATTTGTTGTTAAATCGGCCTATATTGTGTTGTGTTGCTCTTATCAAACAGACATCTTTGGATGGGTCAAATACGACTTAATATAACATGCAGTTTGTTGCATTTTCGCTACTCGTAATTTTGGCACATAATAACGAAAGATAGATTTTTCAATTGATCCTGACAAAAATTGCTCCTCTGATAAATATTTTTCAAAATATAATTTTTTAGAAAGTCCACCTTATATCAGATCTTTAATTTGAATTTTGCGTAATAACACTTGGCTCCGTTTCTGGGCAAAATTTTGTGACTGCTTTCGATGAAATGACTTGGTCTTGAATATAAAGATACTAAACAGAGAGATATTTCAACACAAAAGTTTGGTTAATACGGGAAGTAAAACACAAAATAACCCCAGTATTCGGTTGACTAATTCAAGAGTAAATGTCAGCTAGTTTTCTTGAAGAAATCTGATAAAAAACGAGTGGTGAATACAAACGTCGGAATCGGAAGAATGCATTCTTCCAGTTTCTCCAATGTTTTCTGCACTAGATTCACCGTAAACTGTGCCAAAATCAACATAACATTTCGACGGTGTAAGTCGGCAATCACACATCTCGTTTGCGGTGTCTGAAAATCTCCGCCTCTTTGTTATTTTTTTAAAGGAGAACAAATTGAAATCATTCCTTGAAGTTTTTGCAGAATTTTTTTCGCGCAGATAAGAAAAATCTCGGCAATTTTAAAGAATTTCCGTTGAGTAGTTTTCCGTTTAAAAAATAAAGTATGACAGGAAGTCTGCGACGTCGCAAACCGAGTTATGTGATTGCCGACTTACACCGTCGATTTGCATTAGTCTGCGTTTTACTTCCTATAATGACCAAAAGTAAGAACACAAATATTTTGATCAGTGTAGGTATACTCACAATTCCGTCATGCTCTCAGGGAGAAAAGAAGGGATTTTTGTGAGGGCTTTCTCCCGACAGTCAACGATGCCGTCGGCACACCTGCAGGGATGCGGACACGCCGGCTCGCTTGTGCACTCCTCACCCACGCTCCGTTCGGCCAAACCTGGGGACAAACACACACTATCATGATCAGAAAATGTACAAGTACATGTAAGATAATTACCGGAAAAGCTGCAGCACTGAATATTATGAAATAAAATCCCTTAAAAAAAAAAAAAAAAAAAAAAAAAAAAAAAAAAAAAAAATCGGTTGGTGACACTGAATCGTGCATGGAGGAAAGATAAACCGCAGAATTATAAACCAAACAACTGAGTCCAGCTTTTGAGTTCAGAGGACTAAGTCTCCAGTTCCGAAAACCGACCGTTTCAGTTGACAGTTGAAAGCCTGAAAATAGCTGAAGAAATATTTGTATTGCAAAATAAGTTGTTCGAATTCGGAGGTTTACGTTAATTATGTAAGAATAAACTTGCCCCCCCCCCTCCTATAAGATCCTATTGGAAAAAAAAAACACTTGGATTCAAAGTCAAGACTCTTAAAAAATTTGACAAGAAAAATACCCTTGATTTAATCGGATTTGTGCTTGAATCAGGGGAAATCCGCTTAAATTAAGAGGCTTGGCTCTCGATTCGAGCAAAAATCCGATTGAATTAAGAGTATTTTTTCGTGTTAAATTTTGTATGAGCATGGACTTTGAATTCAAGAGACTTCTTTTCCAGTGTCCTTAAGGCAAGTTTAAACCCTCCCTCCTCCACCTCGAGAGGCTCATGTAATATTTGGACGACCCTTAGGGTGGTTAAATGCTGATTCTCTATACGAGAACTTGATCCGTTGGATAAGGAGACTAAATGATCTGAGCAGCAGTGCACTGATGGTTCAAGGTTCAATGAAAGTGAGCATGTTTATCATTGAACTTGTTGACATTAGTATTACGTAGACCAAATTCGTTATTATTGCAGGTCAAATGGACCGCGTTTGACAGAAAGGAACCAAGCCACATCAGCTATTGCCAAATTCAGCTGGGCACTTTCATTTTTTTTGAGAGAACTTTGTGCGGATTCCTTTGAACATTTTTGGGAATTTGCTTCGTACTATGGGGAAAATTTACTGAAATTTGCACGAAAATCCGCATTAGCGTTTTCATGTAAAACATGGAACTGCCGAATTAAATTTGGCAATAGCTGATGTGGTTTGGTTCCTTTCTGTTTAACGCGGTCCAAATACTAGTCGGCCAAATCGCTTGCAAGTCAAGAATACTATAGGTCAAAATTTGTGTAGTTCAAATGTCTGTCGGTCAAACAGCGTAAGTCAAATGGACGTATTTCTATCAAACGGAACTAAGCGCCAATTTGAGTTCCTTTTGAGGAATCTAGAATGCCGGATAGCGCGTTCTGTCAAACGGACCTAAGCGCCATTGAAAAGGATTGCGAGTATAGGACGGAATAAGCCGGACGCCCGGTTCCGCCGCCAATCCAAGCCCCCCTCTACCTTCCTTACCCTATGGCGCTTAGGTCCGTTTGATATAAATACGTCCAAATGTTCTGTAGGTAATATGTTTTCGGGTAAAACGTCCTAACACCCACTGATTTGCGCGAGGAGCGGTTATAGAACTCACCGGAGCACTTGAAGTCCTCTTCGCGTAGGTCGACAAGGTTGTTGGTTTTCAGATGGTTCGGCGAGAAGCACTTGGCGACAAAGTTGAGCCGGCTCTTGCGTTTGAGCCATTTTGAGAGCCAGGACAGTTGACAGTCGCAGATGAGGAAGTTGTCGTTGAGCCGTAGCGTCTTAAGGCGGATCGTGTCCTCTAACAGGTCCTTCGGCATCGACGTTAGGTTGTTGTTGTTCAGAGTCCTGCAACAAAAAGGGAAACACACATTTAGCATTTTGTTTTCATATTTACTGTGTCAAGTATTTGAAAAAATTATTAAAAAGTAAATTCAGGGTTGCCACAGAATTAAGAGGAGAAAGTCTCTCACTGAAAAAGAAGAAAAAAAAAAAAAAACACATTGGATCTAGAGTCAAGACTCTTGAAAACATTGGCAAGAAAAAAGACTCTTGATTCAATCAGATTTAAGCTTAAATCAAAAGGAAATCCGCTCAAATTAAGATGCTTGGTTCTTGATTTAAGCTTAAATCTGATTGAATCAAGAGTATTTTTTCTTGTCGATGATTTTAAGAGTCTGAACTCTAGATCAACTGTGTTTTTTTCCAGTGCTAACATTTTCCTGACTTCCTTGACAAATTTTGGTGAAAGTCCCTGACATTTGAAGGCATGCCAGATGGTAAAAAGACATATTTAGAAACAGTTTTCAGGCAAAATTTGTCGTTCGAAATGCCAAACCCATTCTAAAACGCATAGACAATACGGACTGACATAGATTGCGTCATTTCCCTGCCGCGATAGAACAAAATTCCCTTCAAATAATGAACGAGAATTACGGCGTTCGCCTTGAAAATAGGTCGTTAGCGCCGAGCAACTATTCGAACTCCGCTGTGGTGATGCGGTATCAAACTTTTTTGAAGGCGCTTTGAGTTCGCTCTAAGATGCGTTCGCGCAAGGCAGAGAATTAAGTTTATGCGATGTGGATGTGGGCTTGTTCGCGCGCCGTGCACTATTACAGATACGTTTTTCTGCTAACATTAACTTTACGAATTTACGAACACAATTTTAAAATAATTTAACCAGATCATTTTGAACTTGAAAATTTAATCAATTAAACGACGAGTCAGGTTCGTAAATCTTGAAAATAAATTACACGAGTATTTTTAATGAGTTGATAATCATCTGGTATAAAATTATGCGAGATATTTTCACTAATTTCTTAAAATATCATGCCAGCCCAGGTTTCCCACGCCCCATTAGTATTTTCTTCCAATGTCTCTTTTGAATTCATCTCATGAATCCTATACATTCATGGCAAAATATAAATTTAGATACATATAACACAATTTCTAACTTTTAAACTGGAATAAAATTTATCCTTAAAATTACGTCCATTCCGGTCGGAAGAAAATGGCATTATCTAAGTCCCTAGCTCCTCTAACTGAACGACAACCGATGGTGAAACTATAAGAACTCATCTAAATTCTTCATGTATTAAATCTGATGTCATGTACTTAATCATTAAAATGGAAAACAGAGCAAAGTGATTTTAGAAAATATCCGTGACTCTCCCTCCTCAACGCGAACAGTGACGATTCTTGAATATTGGTAACTCTGTTTTTCCGCTATTTAAATGTACGTAAAACAATCGATCCTTGGCGAGTCTGCTTGTCTCACCTAAAATCGACATGAACTTAAAATGAAGCGTAATGTACAGTGTTGCCAACTTACAAAATCCTTACTAAAGGCAAAAAATATTTTGTTGTACTGAGGAAGAAAAAAATAACGCCGTGTTTATAAGACTTTGAACGTTGCCAAACTTCGTTTGATAAAATAATGATTTTTTAGAAACTTGTGTACATTTTTATATCGATTATCTAGAGAATGTCTAGGTATAGCAATTCGATTTAAAGTATTAGATTAGCATCTTTATACACAAATTGATATTTTACCGCGGGAAATTTGGCAATATTTGAATTTTCATACGGCAATTGGACGTATTTCTGCGAAATGGAACTATGTGCATTAAGACATGAGCCCTGGGACCCATAAAAATATATGCACAACAGAGCTCACGTAATAATGCACATAGTTCCGTTTGGCGGAGATACGTCCCATTTTCCTCAGCACGACAGTATTAAGAAGTTGAATAGTAATTCCTCAGAATTAAGATGCGTCATCCTCGAACCCGACAGACATTTCATCTGGCACATCTCTCCCGAGCTTCGGGAAAACGACAGCTACACGATTCGGACATTCTAATTAGAAAATTTAAAAAAAAAAAATCCAATTCCCAGCTTGCGTCTGGCTCGCATCAACAAGGTGCAGAACAGGCTCCCGGTGAATCAGACGTCATAAAAAACAGCGCGGGCCTAATTTATGACTCTTAATTGGGCTTGGCGCTCGGCCATTTGCACCGCATCCAGCAGCCGCGGTTCAGAGCGTTGCGAAAACCGCGTATCTGCATCGGATTTGAGGGAGAGTTAGGGGGTTTTTCGACGTGGGAGATGGGCCACTCGCACGACGTACACCGCACTTTATGCGTTCCCGCTCGTGATGCTCGCTGCGGCGCATGATTTGCGGGTTGCATAATTCCGGGCGTAAAAATGTCACTTTCTCCGTTCCGGTGCGCAACAGGCTTTGTTGCCGCCCAGTGGGACTCACATACTGCCGTGCTAAGTAGAGTACCTATATAGAGAGAGTATGGACATGTCGAAAATTTTAAGGTTAGGTGATGGACCTCTTAGACCCCAAAAGGATAGGCAATCTATGAATTCAAATTATCCAGAGTGATTTATGATAACAATTGTTGGTAACTGTCGTTTGTAGAGCAAGTATTTGACTTGGTTTTTGCATGAACTTACTCATTTTTGCGGAAGAATGCTTACTTGTGAATTTGCTTGTCCATTTTCGTTTAATATTGGAGTCTAAAGATTGACAATGACATTTTTCGTTTTCAAAGGTTACCTACTCTTTTGGGCCCTAAGAGCTACATATTTCGAGTTGTCCATACTCTCCCTATATAGGTACTCTAGTGCTAAGGAGGAACGCCGTATAGGCATTCGAGGGCTACCAAATTTGTTCGGATAAAACCTTTAAATTTGCGGGAAGTTATGCATACTTTCCCTTGAAATTTTTAGATATTTTGGCAAAAATTGTAAAAAAAAAACGTTTGAAAAATTTGAAGAAAACTATTCACAATTTTCTCAGTAAACACGTTTTTTACAGAGGGAAATAAGGCAACGCCTGAAGACTCATGCAGCGTTCTTCCTTTGCACGAAAGCAAAGTGCTGTCATCCACGGCGAACATGCTGTATCACGAACAGCACGACAAATACTCCAAGAGGGAATTTTGCTTTATTCGAGATTTTTCACTTAATAACTATTAAAAGAATTTTGATGCACCAATTCTTTTTATACATTCCTATTTCAGAATTTCCGTCGTATGCTGCAGAAGACACCTTTTCTTCAAAGAGAGGGAAAAAAATATAATTTTTGAGAGCAACTGGCAACCCGTAACGATGACCCGATGTAATGCATCTCGATTAGATCATTTATATGTACGAGCACTGATAGAGATGGAACTGATGACTGATAAAAATACGAACGTAAATAATAAATTGTATACATCGATTGCTTGTGCAACTGTTTACAGATTCATTACTGCACGGCAGTTAGACGGAATGAGGACAATGACTCGCGGTAGCTGTCACAACAAAATTTATTTAGAATTGATTCGAACTTTTTGCATCGGCAGTCGTACCATTCAACTTGAGTTCGTTGTGTCTGAAAAACTTTACCGTATGAAAAAACTCTCATTTTAACTCATGAAATATCAAACGATTCTTATCATAGGGACCCTTGAAGCGGCAGTTGAACCGCACCTTCTCTGATGCGTGTTTTTCGAATCGAATCAAAGTGATAGTGATGTGTTCCCCGATGATTTTGGGATGTTCAAATTTATTCGTGACTAATTCGAACTTCGTACACCGAAATTCATGTTATTAATCTTGTGCCTGTGTTGTGTGTGAAAAACATGATAAGTCAGTGCTCCATTAGAAAAAAACCTAATTTGTATTCATGAAAATTACAGCATTTTTTATAACAAAGAGTAAAGACCCTTGAGATTTGGCGAAATTTGGCCAGAAGAGTATTCTATTCTGTATTTTGAGCCTCACTGCTGTTTTTTGCTGGAAATTGCTGAGATAGTGATGTTTTTCCAAATAATTTTATTATTTCTGTGCCCACTTTTCAAAAATCTGATCGAGTCGGCTCGAACTCAGAATTCAAAGAACAGATCTAACAGCCTCGGAGATATTTCGGACTTCCAGGAATTCCTAACGCGGAACCAGCGGTTGTACGTGGACAAAACTTCATTTTTGAAAAACTTCATGCAACATGATCGCGAAGATGATGCTCATAATGTAACTGTAGTTATTAAGCCTCCAGGATTCGGCAAAACCATGCTCCTGTCGACAGTCGACTATTTCTTGAATTTAAAAAATAACGCCTCGAAAGATAGCTCGATAGCTGAGTTGAATATTATGTCCACCGATATCGAAGCGGAAGTTTTCAGAAGCACCCATATGAACAGGTAATAAAATATATTCACTAAGTATGTTAACACATTTAACACAAGAATTTTGTAGGTAAATCGTTAATCCCCAACTGGATTAGAAACTTTTATGTTTCCTCGAAAATTTTTGAGGAACTAAAATATTTTTAAGAAATTTCTAAAAACTCGAAAATTTCAATAGAATTAATTCGATTGTCTGCAAAATTTTTCAAACCTCCTGAATTTTTACAGCTGTCCTAAAAACTTGAAAATTTCTACGATACCTCTGAAAACTTCACAGTTTCCACAAAATGTGTAAAAACTCGAAAATGTCTGTAAAATTTCTGAAAACTCCACAGTTACCACAAAATGTGTACAAACTTGACAATTTCTTTAGAATGAACTCGATTTGCTACAACATTTTTAAAACTTCCTCCATTTTAACATCTTTCGTAAAAACTTTAAAATTTCTACGATATTTCTGAAAACTCCACAGTTTCTACAAAATATGCAAAAACTCGAAAATTACGGTATACATATTCGTAAATTCTGAAAACTCCGAATTTTCTGCAAAAATTTTGAAAACTTGATAAACTTACACAGGTACCCAGTGGTAAGGATCAGTTTCGCCTCGGTAAACGCTTCCAACTTCTCGGAGGCCGTGCAAAAAATCTCCCATCTCATGAGTGACGT